CACTGGCAGAAACAAAAATTAGTTATCAGGTTTAGGTTTAGAACTATAAACAGAAGTTCAATTAATTCACCGATTTTCAGTCACATGTGAATATCGTCGATTTTTATAAAGTTAGGAGAAAATAACTTTTCTACACAACCGGTCGTAAATAATTAGTACTTCCCCACCGGCGTAGTGGTAACTTGGGATAAGCATTCCTGTATTATTCAGGACATTTGTGTTTTGGATGTTTAATTATCTAATATTACAGCTCTTGATATTTCTGACAAACAGAATGATATGATCGAACCCAAAATAAGTTATTATCTATGATGACATTAATTGACAGCAAATGTAAATAGTCTACTCATGTCGACTCCTATATCAAAAAATTGACTGAGTTGCCATGGTAACGTTGATATCATCAATGATGCAGCCATGATGTATTTCTGTAGATCTTGGGAGGAGAAGAGTAACAGTAATAGTACATTATATACCGGTAAAGTTTATGGCCCGACCGCAGGGAGGGCCATAATTTACCTGAAGGATTAAATGTACTTCAGTCGCAAGGTATATACGATACTTTTCGTACTTCCGGTATGATTTTATTAATTATTTCAATAATTTCAATCAGTTTTTTCTCTCTTCAACTCATTTAATAAACTGTCTTTAAAATAAGTTACCATAGTAACATTGCGTTGTGAAAGTTATAATTTAGAAACATTGTCATTACTAGTGTCATTGTAAAGAAACATTGTTATTGATAATTATTGGTATCATGAGTGAAGAAGGTGTATCTGATATTGATAAAAGAGCAGCCGAAGTAGGTGAAGAATTGTTACCACCGAAATCTAGAAAACTATACGAGCAGCAGTACGATGCTTTTAAAAAGTGGTGCCGCTTAAAAAATGTGAGACAACCTACTGAAAATGCGCTGTTAGTCTACTTCGATGATAAATCAAAAGCGGTTTGTGCCTCAACTCTCTGGGCACATTACTCAATGCTGAAATCGGTTATTAACATTAGAGAAGATATTGATATAAGTAAATTTCCAAAATTATTAGCTTTTTTGAAGAGAAGAAATGAGGGATTTAAGCCAAAGAAGTCAAGAATTCTCACGTCTGAGCAGGTAGATCAGTTCTTACGGGAGGCTCCGGATGATAAATATTTAATGCTTAAGGTAAATTTGGAAATTTGTTTATATTCAGAAATTTTAAGAAATCAATTTTTTTGTAGGTTGCACTTATTTTGGGCGTTGCGGGAGCTTGTCGTGGAAAAGAGTTGGTTGATTTAGAAATCGACGATGTGAGAGATTTGGGCGATTCCTTCCTAATTGCGATTAGAAACACCAAAAATAAAATTGACCGAAATTTTGTGATCAAAAATTCAGAAAACAGTGCCATCAGTTTTGTGGCGATATTTCGGAAATATGTGGCATTGCGAAAGACAGGGACAACTCATTCAAAATTTTTTGTTCAATACATCAACAAAGAATGTACTACGCGAGTAGTAGGAAAAAACATGTTTGGTACATTTCCACGGCAAATAGCAGCTTTCTTGAAATTAGAAAATGCGACGTCTTATACGGGACATTGTTTTAGACGCACATCTGCGTCTTTGTTAGCTGATTCGGGAGCAACAATAGACGTGCTGAAGAGACATGGAGGATGGAAATCCTCCAACGTGGCCGAGGGATATATTGAATCGTCTATTAAAAATAAACAAAAAATTTCAGATAAAATATTTGGTCAAGTCGCCGATTCGTCCACTATAGTTATGCCACAGTCCTCATTCTCGCTTCCTGTTTCCGCAGGATCTTCGAAACAAACACCAGTTCAATATGAAAAGGACCTATCTGTTACTCGTCAGTTACCTGCTGCATTAACCCAGGAAAGACTGGTCAATATGACGAACTGTCACAATATTAATTTGAATATTAACGTTAATTACCATTCTAATTAATTATATTTTTCAATAAAATATCCCTTAAATTCGTTTGTTTGTGATTTAATCGTTCCGGGAGTTTCGTCAATATTTAATCCCGGAGGGATTAAATGTGACACTTTAGTACCTGTCACAAGGGAGTGAAGTTGTCACTTTAGGCCCGGAAGTACGAAAAAAATCAAATATACCGGTGGTGCATAAAATGGTGTATGTATTTCGGGCGTAACCTGCTTTTATGGACCTTGGCGTGTTCATAGCAATCTCTATCGCTCGGGCTTTTACTTACACGCTACGGTCCATAAATGCCTATTTTACGCCCTTGATACATACAGAGTGGAGCCTAGCTATAACTGGTATAAATTCGTTAGCGGGGACGTCAATATTTTTTCTAAAAATTCACAGGACTTGACAGTAGCGTATAGCACAAATAACACGTTGGGAAGGTTTATCAAAAATAATAAAGACAAAACTTCTGAATTCGAAAAATCAGGGGCATACAAACTCAACTGTGGATCTTGTCCTAAGGTATATATCGGTCAGACAGGTCGAACCTTTAATCAGCGCATTCATGAACATAAGATAAATTTTTTAAAAAAGAAAACAAAATACGAATTCATATTATAATGTTTTCCATCAATGCTATAACGTTCCACTCCAGAAGTCTACTATCCAGGGCTTCTCAACTTATCAGGACATAGACCTAACAGGCCTAGATTATGTACTTATCATATCACCATATTGCACGTTATTTTCCGAGGTGTTAAACCGCGATGGAATTCTGGTGTACAAACAACTGGAATTTCTTGGAATTCCCTGAATTTCCTTGGATTTCTTTGGATTTCCTTGGAATTCATTGGATTTCCTTGGAATTCCTTGGATTTTCTTGGATTTCCTTGGAATTCCTTGGATTTCCTTGGAATTCCTTGGATTTCCTTGAAATTCCTTGGAATTCCTTGGATTCCCTTGGAATTCCTTGGATTTCTTTGGAATTCCTTGGATTTCCTTGAATTTCCTTGAAATTTCTTGGATTTCCTTGGAATTCCTTGGAACTTCTTGGATTCCTTTGGAATTCTCTGGAATTCCTTGGGTGAAATGCGATATATTCCTGGGCTGCAAACAACTGGAATTCCTTGGATTTCCTTGGAATTCTATGGATTTCCTTGGAATTCCTTCAATTTCCTTGGAATTCCTTGGATTTCCTTGGATTTCCTTGGATTTCCTTAGAATTCCTGGGGTTTCCTTGGATTTCCTTGGAATTCCTCGAATTTCCTTGGAATTTCTTGGAGTTTCTTGAAATTCCTTGTGTGAAGTGCGGTATAATTCTGGTGTACAGACAACTAGAATTCCTTGAAATTCCTTGGAATTCCTTGGATTTCCTTGGAATTCCTTGGAATTCCTTGGCATTTCCTGGAATTCTTCGAATTTCCTTGGAATTTCTTGAAGTTTCTTGAAATTCCTTGTGTGAAGTGCGGTATAATTCTGGTGTACAGACAACTAGAATTCCTTGAAATTCCTTGGAATTCCTTGGATTTCCTTGGAATTCCTTGGAATTCCTTGGCATTTCCTGGAATTCTTTGTTTGAATTCCTTGTGTGAAGTGCAGTATAATTCTGGTGTACAGACAACTAGAATTCCTTGATATTACTTGGAATTCCTTGGAATTCCTTGTGACATTGAAGTTTGGTATACACAATTTTGACTGAGGTTTACCCCTTGTAATTTTCGTAACACATATGCTGCCCGATTTGGCAGCCAACTTCAACAGTCTATGATCTCAGCCTCAGCAATTCAGCCATCAGCCAACTGTTCATAGGATTAGGATAGATATCTGTTGCCTCTATTTTCCCTGAATTTTCATTGAGAGAGGCTTGGAAGAAGTTAATTGATTCATTTTATAATGAGTTTTCCTTCCTCAAATAACAGGACATCTGAATTCAGATTGATAAGTCTTTCTGAACCACTAAAAAATGAAATTTACACTACTTGAAAAAGAGTAGGCTAGTGGTGAAAATAATAATATTTCAGACAATAACCCCAAAACCTCATTTCCTATACCTACCAATATCTCCAGTATGTGACATTACAAATTGATGAATATATCAGATACATAAACAGTGCAGAGCTCAACCATTGTATTGTTGAGGTGAAATCTTTGGTGATACCAAATACCTATATATTTGGATTAGAGGCCATATCCTGCCTGACTAGGTTGTTTGTTCAAAATTTTAGCAAATATAACAAGCTTATCTTATCTTAGTTCAAGCACAATTAAAACTGCATTACCATGCATGATTTTGAAATATTTCCTTGATGCACACAAATGTACCCTCCAATGAACTCATTTATGTTTTATTGTGAGAAAATTGATAAAACAGTAAGTATATCCAAACAAATCAGAAGAACAGATGAAAATTGAAATAGGATAATTATCTGGTCAATTCTTCAATACCAAAATTTCAAGATGTGATGTTATTTTCATTTTTTCAATTGTGAAGCAGTTTTCTATTAGAAACAAAAAACTGCTCGAAAAACTGGTACAGTAGATATCTCTGAGTTGACTGTAGAGTAACAAAATTACATCAAATTAGGAGAGTAATATCTGGTAATGTCAAGTAATAGGAACCTATATATATTTCTGGATTATTATTCCTTGTTAGTTTTTAAAAAATCATTTATGACCATCTCAAAAAACATTAGAGAAAAACAGATTCCAAAATGATTCCATTCATGATTCCCTGTTTGGTTTTTTGGGTATGTAGATTGATCTATTTTCTTTTTATTTGGAAGCAGGAATAAACTGATAAGTATTCATAGATGACTGGGTTTCCTTAGCTGTGAACTATACACCACTCCACTCTACCATGGACTTCTTCCAAAGATTAATAAGTATTTATGGAAATATTCTTTCAAAATTTGAACTTAAATGGACATTCCACTCTTATTACAGAGCTTGATGTACAAAGACAAAATAAGATGGAATTCCTAATTGATATATGTGCTTCCTCAATCCTGTTGAGAACCAAAGATATGTTGGTGAGTGATGAGTAATATGGGATGAGGTTATAATAAATCTCTTACCTCCATCTGACAACTTTGGTCCAAACTGTGCAGCTGCATCATTAAACTCTTGAAAATAAAATTGAGATTCCTGAAAGAAAATTAACAACAATAACAAATACAAAGATAACCATTTATAATTCACTCACGAATTTGATTGCATAAATTTCAGCCTGTCCCTTTTCCAACAAAGTGGCAATGGCAATCAACGCTGATAGCAGATAATTGCAAAGCATGTTTGAATGTTATTCTCCTGATTTCATCACATTTCATTAAAAAAAGGGATCAGAGTATAGTACAAATGGATTAACCTTCAACAGATGACGATGTGAATACGAAAAATTTTAATTAGTCTCTCAGGTCTCTGATCAATTAACAATAAATAAATTCTCCACACTCCACAGAGTTATCAGCTACATGCCTATCATACAAACACCAAGAAACGTCATATATTTCACATTATTCACTAGAGGAGACAATATTTTGATAATTTTTCGTACAAAAAAAACAAACAAAAATGTATCTTTTCTTTCTTTGATCACCACTTTTGAGTTTGACGTTTGGTCTTTTTTGACTTTGAAAGTTAAACTTATTCTTTTTTTATGGAATCTGCTCTATAAGACCATTGGTATTGAGCAAAGTTGAATGTACTTCTTCTTTTTCTTTCCGATGTCCTCTGCGATATAAGGCAATTGGCCAGCACATTCCTTCAAAACTTCGACGTAAACAAGGACGTAAACACATTTTAGGTTATGGTTTATTATTTGTTTCTAGATGAGAAGATGAGATAAGATTCATTTTAACAATTTGAGTAAAATGAGTCTTTTTTGGATTATGTGTACAAAATGACTCAAATAATACTGAAAATTAGGCATATAGTTCTTTTTATAATCTTTATTTTAGTTGGTAGGTCATGAATTTGAGCTTAGTGAAGTTTGAAAAATGTTTCTGATGATTTCAGTGTTATGTATCCTAGCAAAATTATTGAATGGAGATGGACAGATTTTCAGAGAATACAGTGACAGTTCAAAAAACAAGGAATATATATTTCCTGATGATATAAACCATGCAACACAATTGTTAAATGAAGCAAGTAACAAGATAGAAGCATTGGAAGAAAAGATAATTTCTTTGGAGGGCAGAGTACCAAAAACCTATCCTGATGTGAAATTCTTGAATTATCTCAATAGAAAAAGAATATTGGTAAGAATTGTCCATCTCTTGGATTGAATTTTAGCAATGGAAACCTTGAGAGACCTTGTGAATATAGCTTTGCATTATGGTTTCTGCACTTCTCTTGGCTTTATTTTTTAAGATAATTTCAGGTAACTGGTGGGGCAGGGTTTGTTGGTTCACATCTAGTAGATAGATTGATGCTACAAGGACATGAAGTGATTGTTGCAGATAACTTTTATACAGGAAGGAAAAGTAATGTGGAACAATGGATAGGTCATGAAAATTTCGAACTCATACATCATGATATTGTACACCCAATTTACATTGAAGCAGATGAGATATACCATCTTGCCAGTCCAGCTAGTCCACCTCATTACATGCATAATCCTGTCAAAACAATAAAGACAAACACTCTGGGAACCATCAACATACTAGGTGAATCATCAACAACAGCTTTGTTACTTTAAGATATCAGGTGTCGCTTCAATTGGACATGGAAAATTGGACGCACGACTATTGGTCGCAGTCAATTGGACGCGGCGACAATTGGACGCGGCGACAATTGGACGCGGCGACAATTGGACACGGCGACAATTAGACGCGGCGTCAATTAGACGCGGCGACAATTCGACGCGGCGACAATTGGACGCATGCGTAAATAAAAATAATTTTATAATTCCAATGAAATTCATTGTATAAAATATGAAATACTGATGGGCTTATATCCATAATTATAACAAATACCTGACAGGTTAGGTTAAGTATTTGTTATATTATAGATATGAGCCCTGCATATTCCATGCAATAAATTTCATTGGAATTATAAAATTATTTTTATTTTCGCATGCGCTCAATTGTCGCCGCGTCCAATTGTCGCCGCGTCCAATTGTCGCCGCGTCCAATTGTCGCCGCGTCCAATTTTCCGCGTCCAATTTTCGTGCGTCCAATTGACCACGTCCAATTGTCGGTAATCCAAGATATCATGTGTTACATTTTTAGGTTTAGCAAGAAGACTGAATGCCAAGGTGCTAATTGCAAGTACATCAGAAGTTTATGGTGATCCTGATATTCATCCACAACCAGAAACATACTGGGGTCATGTTAATCCCATTGGTAAATTTTTAGAATTTGTTCATTAACTGCATTTTTGCCCAATTAATATGAAAGAAGGAATCTGGTGTATCACCATATCACTAATTCTGCATTTCATAAATTATTTCATGCTGTAATAATTAGTATAGTGATTGAAAAGGAACATTTTCAGTTATATTTATGAACACAAAAAAATGGATATATACAGGGTGTCCGCTAAAAGGAGGTCAATCCATTAACCATATATTCCTTGAACAAAAACAATATGAGTTTCTAAATACCATTTTTCATTTTAGCCCTTTATATTTGATATACAGGGTGTCAAAGTTGGAAATTAAAAACTGTTTTTTTCTAATTACTTGCGTATTCAATAAGATATCAATCTCAAAATTGGTGAATCACTTCAGCACAAAGAGTTACATAGTGTGAGGAAAACAAAACAGAAAGTATATGTCAAATATTCAAAATACTGGGGGTCAAGTACACACTTACCCCCATATATTTTTTTTGTACGAGCGCTAATGACTTCCTATCTATTTTTCTGCAAGTGTTCAATCATTTTTGAGTATTTTTTGTTTCTTGTGAAATTTCGATAAAATTACGAAATTACGTACGAAAAGGTAAATATGGAAATACCGGGTGTTCAGAGCGAATGTATTGAAATAATTTTTACAAAAAAAAAAAAAAAAAAAAAAAAAAAAAAGAGGACACGTGTTGAATAAATTTTTAGGAGGATAGGGGGGAGGGGGGGGTTGATTGACGAGCCCACTCTTTCAAAGGATTATTGAATTGATTTTTTTCGAGAAGAGCTTTTAAAAAAAAATTAAATTGGTTTGAGCGGTTTTGGGTGGTGCGGAATTTTTTGAAAATATTTTCGAGCCTCTTTCCCACCGTATGGTTTGTCGGGCGAACGAACGGGAAATAAAATCGGAAAAATTAAAAAATATATATATTTTCGTAAATTTTTGGTGAAATTATGATATTCATGATAGATATGATAGAAATAGCAGATCAGGATTGCCTATTGATGTATCATTTCGTGCATAAGCCACATATTTTTCAAAGGCTAAGATTTTCTTTAATCAAAAGGGCTCGCACGTGTATCCAATTATTTTTTTTAGTAAAAATTATTTCAATACATTCGCTCTGAGCACCCGGTATTTGCATATTCACCTTTTCCTACGTGAAAAGTTACGCCCTATCTTTCAATTTCGACGAAGTAAAAAGGAGTGTGTGAACATTATTACTATTATGAGATTACCGTAAGCCGCATAGGCATCAAACAATAACCAGTACTTTTCGAATTATCTCAAAAACAAATGATTTTATCGAAATTTTACAAGAAACAAAAAATACTCAAAAATGATTGAACACTTGAAGAAGAATAGATAGGAAGTCATTAGCGCACGTACAAAAAAAATACGGGGGTAAGTGTGTACTTGACCCCCAGTATTTTGAATATTTGACAGTTATTTTCTGTTTTGTTTTCCTCACACGATGTAACTCTTTGTGCTGAAATAATAAGAACCGATTTTGAGATTGATATCTTATTAAATACGCGAGTAATTAGAAAAAAACAGTTTTTAATTTTCAACTTTGGCACCCTGTATATCGAATATGAAGGGCTAAAATGAAAAATAGAATTTAGAAACTCATATTGTTTTTGTTCTAGGAATATATGGTTAATGGATTGACCTCCTTTCAGGGGACACCCTGTATATAAAGATATTGAGAATTCGAATTCTCAATGTCAGTCTCAAAAAAAAAAAAATAGTATAGTGAAGTTTATGGATTTTTGTTACTTGATGAGAAGCTGCCAATTCATTTCAAGGCAGTAGTTTCAGTTTTTTTAAAAGTAGGTATAACCATCAGAGTATTTTCAAAACCCTTTCTGCCCTTATGAATCTGTGTTGTATTTGATTCTATAATTCACCTTTTACCTCTGGGTTTACCTGTTATGAATGTATTTTTTTATCTAACAGAAAGCCCTCAGCAAAATGTGATATATTTTTTTTTTAATTTGGAAAAAGTGAATTTTTGGAAAATCCATTTCATTTTTTCTTTCCATTATTAATAGAGATACAGAAAAACTAAAAATACTTCTCCATAGCAACTTTTGATGAGATTCAACTCGGTGATTTTGATTTCTCTATGTGACTTTTCATATGTGATACAGGGTGATCAGAATTCTGAATCTTGAACCACCTTGTATTTTTTCCAATTGAATTCCAGTAGATAGTAAATCAAAAGTTAAGATACGGACATGTAAGCCGTTTTGATCGATAATGAATAGTTTCCACACAAAAAAATCCTAAAATTGAAAAATCTCTATTTTGTACACCCTATATCTCCTGCAAGTGTGATACATTGATGAATTCAGCTGTTCAGGAAGAATCTAAATGTAATAAAATACAGGGTGTTCCATTTGAAATAACAAAGTTGCTACTTGTTTCTGATATAAGTGGCAACACTGTATCGATGAAAATATTTTAGACGGATAGAGAATGTTCAATTATCAGAGAAGCCCAATTTTCAGGATGTTCTGTCTTTTCGTTCTCCAGATACTTCTAATAGGCCATCCACCGTGGATCACTCTGTATAACGTTGTCACTAACCATACGTCTCACAGACGGGACTATACAAATTTCCATATAAATCCAATTTTTTTTTGTGAGCTATTCAAACACGTCATGTGTCTTCTCCATGGAGAAATCAAAGGAAATATTTCTTCAATTCGAACTTTTTTATATGGAAAATCCATAACCCACTATTAAAATTCGATGTTTCAGTGATTTCGGAGCATTTACGAAAATTTTATATTCATACATCATATATCATTTTGAAGGTAAAAAAATATGGAATTTAATGAGCTCATAAAATCCAGGGTGTCCGTTTAAAAAATCATAGGTTTCAGTCGTATCTCCAAAATCATACCCCGAAAAAAACATTCGAGTGCGCTACTGGATTTTGCGTAAAATTCTCTTTGGGATAAGATTTCAGTTTTGACATTTTCACTGAGGCACTTCGTAGAAGAGGGGGTTCAGGAAGTATAAATTTCCAAAATCGCCCTGTATTTCATAAACGGAAACAGTTATGCAAAATCTGTTTAGACAATCTTGAGTCCGTGACGGATAACTGGAATATCATGCAACAGCATCGAAATCTGGACACACTGTACTTTGAAAACCAAAAAACGAGGGCATTGATGATATTCGATTGAAATATCGTTATTCGGTTTTAGGCCCTAGGGCATGCTATGATGAAGGTAAAAGGGTATCAGAATCATTAACGTACGCTTATGCCAAGCAGGAGAATATGAAAGTTCGTGTGGCCAGAATTTTCAACACTTATGGCCCCAGAATGCATATGAATGATGGAAGAGTTGTTTCCAACTTTATTTTACAAGCTCTACAAGATGATAAAGTTACAGTAAGTGGTTCAATAGGCAATAGGCAATATAATTATAATCAGTTGTCACCCCCCTCCCCTTCATAATTAGGAGCCTGTTCCGTTATAATTTCATGAGTGCAATATTACCCCTGTATGTTTTTGATAATTTGCTACGTTTATACAGTATCTTGGTAAGCTGACTATAATGACTATATTCTGACTAAATACTCTTGGTCAGTTTGGTATAAACTGTATATTTGGCAAAGTTACCAGCTTGGTTTGGTACCGTAATTTGTTTGAATTTTGCATACCAGACTAATATATCATGATGACCAAGACGGTGTGAAACATTTTGGTATACTTTTGCATAGACTTGACTTGAGTGCAAGTGGCAGTTATTTCATGAGTTCTCCTGATGATATTTCATTCAATTTTAGCTAATTTCGTATCCTACCGTTACCACCGATACAACAAGGCCAGTCAGGAATTTTTGCAATTTCCAGGAATTTTTGCGATATTTGCTTTTTCTGCAATTTTCAGGAATTTTTGCAATTTCCAGGAATTTTTGCAATTTTTGCTTTTTCTGCAATTTTCAGGCATTTTTGCGATTTTCGCAATTTTCAGGAATTTTTAAGAATTTTTGCACTTTTCAGGCATTTTTGCGATTTTTGCAATTTTCAGGAATTTAGGAAATTTTGCAATTTTCAGGAATTTTTGCGATTTTTGCAATTTTCAGGAATTTCTGCAATTTTCAGGAATTTTCGCAATTTCCAGGAATTTCTGCAATTTTTGCTTTTTCTGCAATTTTCAGGCATTTTTGCGATTCTTGCAATTTTCAGTCATTTTTGCGATTTTTGCAATTTTCAGGAATTTTTAGGAATTTTTGCAATTTTCAGGAATTTTTGCAATTTTCAGGAATTTTTACAATTTTTTCAATTTCCAGGAATTTCTGCAATTTTCAGGAATTTTTGCAATTTTTGCTATTTCTGCAATTTTCAGGCATTTTTGCGATTTTTGCAATTTTCAGGAATTTTTAGGGATTTTTGCAATTTTCAGGAATTTTTACAATTTTTGCTATCTTCAGGAATTTTTTCGATTTTTGCAAATTTCAGGAATTATTGCAATTTTTGTTATTTCAGCAATTTTCAGGCATTTTTGCGATTTTTTCAATTTTCAGGAATTTTTGCAATTTTTGCCATTTTCAGGAATTTTTGCGATTTTTGCAATTTCAGGTTTATTTCAGCAATTTTCAATCATTTTTGCAATTTTTGCAATTTTCAGGAATTTTTTCAATTTTTGCTATTTTCAGGAATTTTTGCAATTTTTGCTATTTTCAGAAATTTTTGCAATTTTCAGGAACTTTTGCTATTTTTGCAATTTTCAGTAATTTTTGCGATTTTTGCTATTCTCAGGAATTTTTGCGATTTTTGCAATTTTAAGGAATTTTTGCAATTTTCAGGAATTTTTGCAATTTTCAGGAATTTTTGCAATTTTTGCTATTATCAGGAATTTTTGCTATTTTTGCAATTTTCAGTAATTTTTGCAATTTTTGCTATTTTCAGGAATTTTTGCGATTTTTGCAATTTTCAGGAATTTTTAGGAATTTTTGCAATTTTCAGGGATTTTTGCAATTTTCAGGAATTTTTACAATTTTTGCTATTTTCAGGAATTTTTGCTATTTTCAGGAATTTTTGCTATTTTCAGGAATTTTTGCGATTTTTGCAATTTTCAGTCATTTTTGCAATTTTCAGGAATTTTTGCTATTTTCAGGAATTTTTGCGATTTTTGCAATTTTCAGTCATTTTTGCAATTATCAGGAATTTTTGCGATTTTTGCAATTTTCAGTCATTTTTGCGATTATTGCAATTTTCAGGAATTTTTGCGATTTTTGCAATTTTTGGCAATTTTTGCGATTTTTGCAATTTTCAGTCATTTTTGCGATTTTTGCAATTTTAAGTAATTTTTGCGATTTTTGCAATTATCAGGAATTTTTGCGATTTTTGCAATTTTCAGTCATTTTTGCGATTTTTGCAATTTTCAGGAATTTTTGCGGTTCTTGCAATTTTCAGTCATTTTTGCGATTTTTGCAATTTTCAGTCATTTTTGCGATTTTTGCAATTTTCAGTCATTTTTGCGATTTTTGCAATTTTCAGTCAGTTTTGTGATTTTTGCGATTTTCAGGCATTTTAGCGATTTTTGCAATTTTCAGGAATTTCTGCAATTTTCAGGAATTTGTGCAATTTCCAGGAATTTTAGCAATTTTTGCTATTTCTGCAATTTTCAGGCATTTTTAGGGATTTTTGCAATTTTCAGGAATTTTTAGGGATTTTTGCAATTTTCAAGGATTTTTGCAATTTCCAGTCATTTTTCCGATTTTTGCAATTTTCAGGAATTTTTGCAATTTTCAGTCATTTTTGCAATTTTTGCAATTTTCAGTCACTTTTGCAATTTTCCGTCATTCTTGCGACTTTTGCAATTTTCAGCCATTTTTGCGATTTTTGCAATTTTCAGGAATTTTCAGGAATTTTTGCGATTTTTGCAATTTTCAGTCATTTTTGCGATTTTTGCAATTTTCAGGAATTTTTGCTATTTTTGCAATTTTCAGTCATTTTTGCGATTTTTGCAATTTTCAGGAATTTTAGCGATTTTTGCAATTTTCAGGAATTTCTGCAATTTTCAGGAATTTGCAATTTCCAGGAATTTTAGCAATTTTTGCTATTTCTGCAATTTTCAGGCATTTTTGCGATTTTTGCTATTTTCAGGAATTTTCGCTATTTTCTGGAATTTTTGCGATTTTTGCAATTTTCAGTCATTTTTGAGATTTTTGCAATTTTCAGGAATTTTTGCTATGTTCAGGAATTTTTGCGATTTTTGCAATTTTTGCGATTTTTGCAATTTTCAGTCATTTTTGCAATTATTGCAATTTTCAGGAATTTTTGCGATTTTTGCAATTTTCAGCAATTTTTGCGATTTTTTCAATTTTCAGTCATTTTTGCGATTTTTGCAATTTTCAGTAATTTTTGCGATTTTTGCAATTATCAGGAATTTTTGCGATTTTCAGTCATTTTTGCGATTTTTGCAATTTTCAGGAATTTTTGCGGTTTTTGCAATTTTCAGTCATTTTTGCGATTTTTGCAATTTTCAGGAATTTTTGCGATTTTTGCAATTTTCAGTCAGTTTTGCGATTTTTGCGATTTTCAGGCATTTTTGCAATTTTTGCAATTTTCAGGCATTTTTGCGATTTTTGCAATTTTCAGTCATTTTTGCGATTTTTGCAATTTTCAGGAATTTTTGCTATTTTTGCAATTTTCAGTCATTTTAGCGATTTTTGCAATTTTCAGGAATTTTAGCGATTTTTGCTATTTTCAGGAATTTTTGTGATTTTTGCAATTTTCAGGAATTTTTGCAATTTTCAGTCATTTATGCGATTTTTGCAATTTTCCGTCATTTTTGCGATTTTTGCAATTTTCAGCCATTTTTGCGATATTTGCAATTTTCAGTCATTTTTGCGATTTTTGCAATTTTCAGGAATTTTTGCTATTTTTGCAATTTTCAGTCATTTTTGCGATTTTTGCAATTTTCAGAAATTTTAGCGATTTTTGCAATTTTCAGGAATTTTTGCGATTTTTGCAATTTTCAGTCTTTTTGCGATTTTTGCAATTTTCAGTCATTTTTGCGATTTTTGCAATTTTCAGGAATTTTTGTAATTTTTGCAATTTTCAGGAATTTCTGCAATTTTTGCAATTTTCAGGCATTTTTGCGATTTTTGCAATTTTCAGGCATTTTTGCGATTTTCTGTCATTTTTGCGATTTTTGCAATTTCCAGTCATTTTTGCGATTTTTGCAATTTTCAGGAATTTTTGCGATTTTTGCAATTTTCAGTCATTTTTGCGATTTTTGCAATTTTCAGTCAGTTTAGCGATTTTTGCGATTTTCAGGAATTTTTGCAATTTCTCCAATTTTCAGTAATTTTTGCAATTTTTGCGATTTTTGCAATTTTCAGGAATTTTTGCTATTTTTGCAATTTTCAGTCATTTTTGCGATTTTTGCAATTTTCAGTCATTTTTGCGATTTTTGCAATTTTCAGGAATTTTAGCGATTTTTGCAATTTTCAGGAATTTTTGCGATTTTTGCAATTTTCAGTCATTTTTGCGATTTTTGCAATTTTCAGTCATTTTTGCGATTTTTGCAATTTTCAGGAATTTCTGCAATTTTTGCAATTTTCAGGAATTTCTGCAATTTTTGCAATTTTCAGGCATTTTTGCGATTTTTGCAATTTTCAGGCATTTTTGCGATTTTCTGTCATTTTTGCGATTTTTGCAATTTCCAGTCATTTTTGCGATTTTTGCAATTTTCAATCAGTTTAGCGATTTTTGCGATTTTCAGGAATTTTTGCAATTTTTCCAATTTTCAGTAATTTTCAGCCATTTTTGCGATTTTTGCAATTTTCAGTCATTTTTGTGATTTTTGCAATTTTCAGGAATTTTTGCTATTTTTGCAATTTTCAGTCATTTTTGCGATTTTTGCAATTTTCAGGAATTTTAGCGATTTTTGCAATTTTCAGGAATTTTTGCGATTTTTGCAATTTTCAGTCATTTTTGCGATTTTTGCAATTTTCAGTCATTTTTGCGATTTTTGCAATTTTCAGGAATTTTTGTAATTTTTGCAATTTTCAGGAATTTCTGCAATTTTTGCAATTTTCAGGCATTTTTGCGATTTTTGCAATTTTCAGGCATTTTTGCGATTTTCTGTCATTTCTGCGATTTTTGCAATTTCCAGTCATTTTTGCGATTTTTGCAATTTTCAGGAATTTATGCGATTTTTGCAATTTTCAGTCATTTTTGCGATTTTTGCAATTTTCAGTCAGTTTAGCGATTTTTGCGATTTTCAGGAATTTTTGCAATTTTCGCAATTCTCAGTAATTTTTGAAATTTTTGCAATTTTCAGGAATTTTTGCAATTTTCAGGAATTTTTGCAATTTTTGCCATTTTCAGGAATTTTTGCGATTTTTGCAATTTTCAGAAATTTTTGCAATTTTCAGGAATTTTTGCAATTTTTGTTATTTCAGCAATTTTCAGGCATTTTTGCAATTTTCAGGAATTTTTGAAATTTTCAGGAATTTTTGCGATTTTTGCAATTTTCAGGAATTTTTTTAAATTTTTGCAAAAATTGCAAAAATTCCTGAAAATTGCAAAAATTTCAAAAATTCCTGAAAATTACAAAAATCGCAAAAATTCCTGAAAATTGCAGAAATAGCAAAAATTGCAAAAATTCCTGAAAATAAAAAAAATTTCTGAAAATTGCAAAAATCGCAAAAATTCCTGAAAATTGTAAAAATTGCAAAAATTCCTGAAAATTGCAACTAAAAAATTGCAAAAATCGCAAAAATGCCTGAAAATTGCAAAAATTGCAAAAATTCCTGAAAATTGCAAATATTGCAAGAATTCCTGAAAATTGCAGAAATTGGAAGAATTGCAAAAATCCTCGGTTATTTCCGTGATCCGTGGCTAATTACCTTCAAATTAAGAAAAAAATCAATCGCGCTCGAGAATGTACAGGTGACGACTTTTTTTGCAACTTTGTGGCTCTCCCATTTTCTTATGCCACACTCAAGTCGTCAGATTATTGAAATGCACACTTTTCTGCATGTAATTAACGTGTCTTAATTTGAGTATTTCTGACGATTTTTTTTTACTAATATTCTGATCGGCTGCCCTAAACTTTCGACACCATATGAAGGACCCAGGTATAGTGGGAGTACTTCCAGGGTCCCCCTTATGATAATCTACCGCGCTGGAGTAAATCCCGAAATCCCCGCTTGGGCTTCCTTACTATAAGCCATCAGAACTTAAAAAAAAACGATTTTTTGGTCAAAATTGAGGTTGGGTCGGTGTTCATGTTTTTTAGGTGTATGGATCAGGAGAGCAAACCAGATCTTTCCAATATATTTCAGACTTAGTAGAGGGTTTGGTGGCTCTAATGAATTCAAACTATTCTCAACCAGTCAACTTAGGCAGTCCAGTTGAACATACAATAAATGGTAAGAAAAAAGTACCAGTAAACTATCTAGTTTTAAGATCTGTGATACATTCTTTACTTCTAATAATTTACAAACTGTGAAGGTTACATAAAAATTCTTGATGTTCCTCAGAGTTTGCAACAATTATCAAAACTCTGGTCGGCGGACGCAGTAAAATAGTGCATGTAAGTGAAGTAGAAGACGATCCTCAAAGGAGAAGACCAGATATATCTAGAGCCAAAAAAATTTTGAATTGGGAACCGACAGTCACTCTCAACGTAGGACTCCAGAAGACTGTTGAATATTTTAGACAGGAACTAAAAAGATACAAGTATTCTCCAAGGAATAAATTTGTAATAGGTGACCGACCTTAATGAAAGTTTTTACTGAAGTATTTTTTATGGCTGTTTTATATATAATGAATGTTGTTGAATATAATTTGTTTGAAAAATAATCCAATTTCCTTAACACCTATCACATACATTGGAGAAGGAAACAATTATATTTTTTCTGTGACAGGAAAAAAGTTTGACAATTCATCTCTGTTGATGGGTTATGAAATGTCAATTTTCATACATTCCAGAATATCTATGGCTATTGGGGATAGAAAATAAGCGTTCGCCACCTAGCGGAGATCTTGAAAGCTGTCATTGGTTCACATTCGTTTTTAGTTTGTGCTAATAGGCCTTTTCATTTTTCATTTAGATGACAAATGACTCTCTGTTTACATCTCGCATCTAACGACAGTGGCGGCCATTTTTACTGAAACACTTACACCACACTCCTCAGTAACGAATAAGTAACGTTTTTTGGAATTAAATTATTATAATACAATTAATACACACCAGGAATATAAAAACAAGAATACTATGTTGTTATTGTTGTTTCTCAATGAGGAATGCCCATGGTGGTTGACACTGTTGACATTTGACAGAACGTCAATAATACCCGCCATATTCGAAATGGCCAATCAGGATTTTGTGTTGAAACTATAGCCAATGAGACTTCACCTTTGCATTACCCAATGAATTGTTGGATCTAAAAACGAGCGCATGCGTCTTAAAAATATATCTAGATGAAAAGGCCTATTGGCCACATCATCAAAACAAACCGCTCAGACGTGTTCAAGTTGTTGCCGTCAGGTGGGGCAACATGTTATTTTCTATTCTGAATTCAACTGTCAGTAAATCCACTGACTGCTGAAAATCTGTATTTGGAAATGAAAAATCAAAAACACAGTGCTGTAATAGAGAACTACATTTCATGGTTTTCATCAGTAATCAGCAACTGCAGCTGGTGAAATTTTAATATTATTCTCAGGGTCAATTATTTCAATAACAGGCATTTTCTGATTGTTATTACTTTATTATTGATAAGACAATTATGCCTTATGTTTGAAAAACAAGGTAATAAATAAATGTGAAATTGCTTCCCCCACTAAAAAAATGACAGTTCTGTGGAGCCACACTACCTTTTGATTGTGAACAATTTCAGCAGAATGTTGAGTTGAAGTTGAAATATTTGGAATGCATAGTATGTCTGCTCATAAGTATCTGTCACTTTCAATGATTTTTTTCATTTCTGAATGAAAATTCAGCATATTTAGTACTGTTGGTTGAATATGGAATATAGCCCTTATATACACTGTTGATGGATTTTGTTGTGGTCTCCCAGAAAGAACTGCAAGTTCTTTTATCACCCATTCCACTTCTCTACTAAGTGCAATTTTCTTAAAATCAAATCACAGAATAATTAGACTGACAGACATTTGATGACTCAAAAGGAATGAGAAATCTCCAAATTTCATTATGGATAATTTTCTAATTTTGATATAATGTAATATCTTCTCAATATTGATTTGTCCTTTCTCCTGTCACAGAATAAAATTGTGTATTATACAAGGGAAAAAATTCATGGTTTTTGGTCTCCCTCTGCAATGCATCAGGAGACAACACAATCTGGAGCTAAAATCTACAACTTTTTTCCCTTGTATAATAAATAACTATTTCAGGAATGTTGTTTCACTGTCTGTCAATTTTATGATACAAGAACCAATATATGGGGAACATAAAACTGGGAGGACTCTTGATGTTATTTTGGCTGATATATTTTTTAATTTCATCCAAGGTCATTTCCACTACTTCTATTATCTCATCATCTACTCCACCTCCATTAGAAACTTTCATTTCATCAGTAACTTCACAATAGAAAGCTGTTTGAAGGCTAGCAGAAGTTCCAACTCCAGATCTGTATGAGCCTATTTTTTGAAGGTTAGCCAAGGGCACATCATACCCACATTCTTCCAATATTTCTTCTCTGGCTATTTCTGCAACTGACTTGTCTTTATCTATGATGCCAGCACATAATTCTATGGTAATGCCAAGATCTGCTGGGTACTTTTCAATGTTTATCTCATTTCCAATGCTCCAGTCTTCTGCTGGTATACTTCCTATGTATACTGCTGGACGAAACTGTTTCACAAATATCAATACATTTCTGGTAATGTTGTATAATAATATTGCTACACTATCATGCACTGTTAGTAAATCCCATTTCCTTTTGATTCCATTTTGTAGAAAGTGCATGGAGTATGGTTTCAGGTATATTGATTTTTCTAAAGGTTTCACAAATACTTCCGTTACTTTATCCATATTTATTGATATCTTTTATCAACCCCTTTTTCTTCCCAACCAGAGTATATAACACAAGAGTATCTGAGATGTATTTCTTCTTCTTCTTCTTCTAGTTTTGTGGCCTCTTGTCAAAGGACATACAAGATGTATTTCAATGAACGATAAAATTACTTCTATGGCTATGGGTGCGTTTTTCATTCCAACATTTTATCATGCGCATGAATCGAAGAAACCATCAAACTGTTGCAAAATTCCGCTGGAATGTTGATGGACATCCATCAAACTGTTGTAATAAAATGCGCACTTTTAAATCGCATTTCGAGAATCCAGCAGTTTGGAGGAGATTGACATGACAGTTGACACATTTTAGTGTTGTTTTTTGTTTTGATTTGATAGAAAACAATTAATATTGAGGATTTTTGAGATTCTTGAGAGATTTTAGAAGAAAGAGTCAGTGTCAATCAATAAAGTCGAATTAGCCTTTTCTGATTCTCAAGATACATGATGACTGACACACAACAAAATCCGTGTTTCCATCAATGTGTTGTATAAACCATTGTTCAATCCTTCCAGCATAAATTCCAACAGAACAATTGGTGACGTCACGACAAAAAACCGCATCTATCAGTGCGCACTTTCTTCGATGGAATGAAAAACACGCCCTATTATATTCCGAATTCAGCTGACAGTACTGAATCTGCTGATTTTTCATTCCGAAATCAAAAAATTCACTGAAAGTGACAGATGCTTGTGAGCAGACATACTATTCATTCCAAATATTTCGACTCAACATTCTGCTGAAATTGCTGACTATCGAAAGGTAGTGTGGCTTCAGTGAACTGTCATTATTTTAGAGGGGAAGGAATGTAACATTCATTTCCGTTGTTAATAATATATTATTATTATTCTCAATATCAGAAAATACCTGTTATTGATATGATAAGCACTGAGAGTAATATTGAGTATGAAGTAGTAGAGATAACGAAAGGAGAAGCAGCATTGGCAAAATAAATAACTAAATAAGCCTGAAATGTCTCCTAAATTCATCATCATCACGTTTTCTATGAATCTTTCAATTCTCAATCTCGTGCATCATTCGAAATTAATGGCAACAAAATGTCCAAGTATTCTTTATCACTCGAGCCTGAATCTGAATCGTCATCGTCAATTATCGTAGAAACTATGGAGGCTCCAAGAATCGATTGCTCTTCCATGGTAAATATATTGAATATTAATTATCTAGTCCAGATAAACGAGAAACTACAGACTGACAAATTTCACCAGCTGATCAACTGCTGCTGACTACTGATGAAAACCATGAAAACATGTTCCGAATTACAGCACTGTATTTTCGATTTTATATTTCGGAACACAGATTTTCAGCAGATTCAGTGGATCTACTGACAGTACTGACCAGTTGATTTCGGAATATAGCCTATCTTCTATCAAAATCGAAAATTAAACATAACCTCAAAATCTTGTGAGGTAGCAAAGGGTAGCAGTGTGAAGTATGAAGTATGTTTCTTGATCCTAAATTCTTCTCAACTTTACCATTGTACAAATATAAGACCAGTGGTACATAACAATGACAGTAATTTTTCTGTCGACTGGCGTTGCCGTTGACAGTTGAGTCTGTGGTCGAGTTTGTTCATCCCCACCACAAGAGGTAAGGACCAATCATGAAGAACCACGAATTGACAGCATGACAGCTACAGCTGATGATAAGTTTTGAGGTTTTGGATGTCGTGTGTATGTGAAATAATGAATAATTTGCAATTTGAGTTTGAGATACGGTTCCAGAACGAAATATAGTAGCAATTAAAAATGTACAACAACCTTAATTGCCTAACTAGAAACATTATCAAATTAACGCCATGTGTAGTTTTATTAGTTTTAGAAATAATAGATGGTGAGTATTTTTGACCATTGAAATAATGTTCTCCTGTAATGTTTCAATTTTAGTTTCAGAATGTATGACACAAGCTGAAATAAATAATCATTTAGAATTAGGAAAACAATATCTAGCCAAAGGACAATTAGCAGATGCTTTGAGTCAATACCATTTGGCTGTTGGTAAGAAACTCTTATTAGATTCCAACTCCAAGACATCTTTCTCAAGATGCATTTTTTTTCTAGAGGGAGATCCGAACAATTATCTCACATATTTTAAGAGAGGAACTGTATATCTTGCCTTAGGCAAGGCCAAAAATGCCCTTAGTGATTTAGATCGTGTCTTGGAAATAAAACCAGACTTCACAGCTGCTAGAATAAGTAGGGGGAATATCCATCTCAAACAGGCTAATTATGACTTAGCACAGTTGGATTTTTACAATGTGGTGAGTATGCATTTGTCAATATTATGAGTTTATTTGAAATGTTTAAAAAACATGACATAGATTAAAAATACACATAACAAACTGAAGGTGTGTTCATTGATCATAGTAATACCTACCAACTATAAGAAGTTAACTACAAGAAACTAATAAACACAAGAAAAGACCATTTATATATTTATTCAAGATAAGTATTATAGAATGCATAAACAAAATACCTGAGTCTCAGATAATAGAGTCACAATCACAAACTCAAAATGATAATAAGTTCTTACTAATGACTATAGTTCTCTTTCACATTATGAAAATTATTACTGGTATCTCAGGCTATTGATGCAAAAGGACAGCATGCATTATTTTGAAATTTTATTATGTAATGTTTTTGAAAACAATAATTGAAAATGTGTGCACTAAATGAAATAGACCTAGAATATTAAAATGAATTTTTATAATCATATTAGTTCCTTTAAATTAATTCTCAGTATCTGTATAATATTATGATTGAGTACAAGAAGTTTCTACTTATGAAATTTTTTATTAAGAATAGAGTTTTTTTTTTAGTTGTGAGGCCTGTAATTTTTCCTGACAATGAATATTTAATTAGACACAAATACTGATTTTTTTTGTTTCATCTTTTCTTGAAGGCCTATTTGCTGGCTTATTTTCCTACAATTTGATTATAATTTCATTTCATGTTTCATAACCATTCTGGAAATCATCTTTAGCTAAATTTGTATTTGAAAAATCATATTTATAAAGTGTCCAAGAGATTCACATAGATTTCTCAATATTTCTTCACTATACAGTCATGTGTTTCACTTCTAATGGAAGCACCCCTGTAAGGATTCTGCAATCTGCAGGAGTGAAGAATATACCAAATATAAACACTATGACCAAGTGAGGTCATCTTCAGTGAAATACACTGCTCACCAACAGCCATGGAACCATCCATATTTCCGGAAATTGTTATTCACTTTGAACTATTCATATTTTTCCTGAACAATTTCCTGCTCTGGAAAATTAAATTTTGTCACATTTTTCATGAGAGCACCCTGTATCTTATGTTATTATCAAGGTAATATTCTGAAATTTGCAGGAGGAAGGAAGAGTCCACCTGAGATTATCATCAGTGGTCTACACTGCAGCCATAGATCTACCCATGTAGCTGCTGGCATGTAGTGTATATTACTGATGATAATTTCAGTTGGTCATTGACTGTATCTTTAGACTTTTCCTCGCTCCTGCAAATTTCAGAATCCCACCTCAATAATAACATAAGATACAGGGCTACTTCCATGCATGAACAGTGAGACACATTTTAATTCTCCAGAACTGAAAACTTTCCCGAGAAAATATAATTGAACATCATAATTTTGAATCCAATGTGATTTTCAACTTATCATGCCTCCAAATTTTATTTTTGTGGGGGTTTCATGGCTGTTGGCTAGCAGTGTATATCACTGAAGATGACCTCACTTGACCATAGTGAGAAGTGAGACACACTGTATATCACCTATTTCAGTATGGGTGAGTATTTTATTTTTAATTAAATATAAGGCAAGCCAAGGTAGGTAAGAAATACTGTGGTTTTGTTAAACTAGTTTTATTTCATTTTTGTGCAAGGCATATAATTTCTTGATTTTTGAGGTATGAGATTCATAATTCTCACAATCTTCTTAGCCACCAATACAGGTTTCTGTACTTTTCTCAATTTTCATCTTGGTAACTATTAGGAAAAAATAACCTCTCTTGTAAGTGACCTACTCCAAACAGGCTCTATCAATTTTTCATCATCAGTACTCAAATTATGTACCACCCTCTATGTTGATTGGAATTTCATGACATTTTTATCAATGCACACTAAAGCTCTCAGAGTACTTACACAATTCAAGAAATTTTACAACTTTGAGTATCCAATTCTCAGTAAAAAAGTGTTTTAGGATGAATGTAAAATTAATTCATTCGTCAAGATCTATCCAGGTTATTCATTTTGTTTCCTAAAACTCTGCCACCCTTCAGAAAGTTTGAATTTTTTGATGAAAATCGATCCTTACAATGCAGAAGCCAGCGACCTCATACAGATAGAACCGGCTAAAAAGCTGGAAAGAAACGCGGAATTCTTTTACTGCCACAACTATCTTTCGATTTTTTTCATTAGTACTCAAATGATGTACCACCTTCTATGTTGATTGGAATTTGTTGACATGTTTTTAATGAAAACGAAAGCCTTCATTGTACTTACACAATTCAAGAAATTTTACAACTTTGAGTATCCAATTCTCAGTAAAAAAGTGTTTTAGGATGAGTGTAAAAATAATTCATTTGTCAAGATCTATCCAGGTTATTCATTTTGTTTCTTAAAACTATGCCACCCTTCAGAAAGTTTAATTTTTCTGATTAAAATCGATCCTTACAATGCAGAAGCCAATGACCTCATGCAGATAGAACCGGCTAAAGAGCTGGAAAGAAACGCGGAATTCTTTTACTGCCACAACGACTATCTATCGATGTTATCATAACATTTTTATCAATGCACACTAAAGCTCTCAGTGTACTTACACAATTCAAGAAATTTCACAACTTTGAGTATCCATTTTCTCAGTAAAAAAGTGTTTTAGGATGAATGTAAAAAGAATTCATTTGTCAAGATCTATCCAGGTTATTCATTTTGTTTCATAAAACTATGCCACCCTTCAGAAAGTTGGAATTTTCTGATAAAAATCGATCCTTACAATGCAGAAGCCAAGGACCTCATACAGATAGAACCGGCTAAAGAGCTCGAAAGAAACGCGGAATTCTTTTACTGCCACAACGACTATATCGATTTTTTCATCATCAGTACTCAAATTATGTACCACCCTCTATGTTGATTGGAATTTCATAACATTTTTATCAATGCACACTAAAGCTCTCAGTGTACTCACACAATTCAAGAAATTTTACAACTTTGAGTAGCCATGTCTCAGTTGAGAAATGTTTTAGGATGAAAGTGAAAATAACTCATTTGTCAAGATCTATCCAGGTTATTCATTTTGTTTCATAAAACTATGCCACCCTTCAGAAAGTTTAAATTTTCTGATAAAAATCGATCCTTACAATGCAGAAGCCAACGACCTCATACAGATAGAACCGGCTAAAGAGCTGGAAAGAAACGCGGAATTCTTTTACTGCCACATCGACTATCTATCGATTTTTTATCAGTACTCAAATTATGTACCACCCTCTATGTTGATTAGAATTTCATGACATGTTTCTAATGCACACTAAAGCCCTCAGTGTACTTACACAATTCAAGAAATTTTACAGCTTTGAGTATCCAATTCCCAGTTAAAAAGTGTTTTAGGATGAATGTAAAAATAACTCATTTGTCAAGATCTTTTTTTTTTTATTAAACCATTTTAGCATACATATTAATAAATACATCTAGCATTTTGTTCCTAATCAGCAACATGCTGGTGACGGAACATTATAATTGACATATGATTCAATAACAATTTATGTAGTTACCATAATATACATTAGTATACATTAATATACATTAATATACTTATACACAAACAACAACAATTACAATCTTAAGTATATCATAGTACAGTAGTTTGTTGATTTATGTGCTGAATCAAGTTTATTTTAAATGAAGAATAACTATTTATATTTTTCACAGGATTTGGCAAAGAGTTGAAAGTTTCTAGACATTTGTATATAGGATTATTTAGTGCCAAGTTTGTTCTTACATTTGATAGATAAAAATTATTTTGATTTCTAGTCTCATATGTGTGAGTTTCGTTAACTAAGTTGAATTTAGTATTACATTTTTGTTGATTTTTTTGTATTTTGTAAGTGTATTTGCATTGTTCTATTTGTAATATTTGTTCCAAGGGCATTATTCCTGTTTCTTTATATATTTTCTCTGTATGTGTTCTATCCAGGTTATTCATTTTGTTTCATAAAACTATGCCACCCTTCAGAAAGTTTGAATTTTCTGATGAAAATCGATCCTTACAATGCAGAAGCCAGCGACCTCATACAGATAGAACCGGCTAAAGAGCTCGAAAGAAACGCGGAATATCTATCGATTTTTTCATCATCAGTACTCAAATTATGTACCTCCCTCTGATTATAAAAATAATTCGTTTTTCTCCGATCGGCAGCAAATATTAATTTTTCTGACATATCAATCAGCAAAGTATTACTTTCCCTGCCTAGGCAGCAAAGTGGTTACTTTGCTGATTGATATTCATCAGCAAAATCAATAATCCATATATAGTTTATAATTTCCTTCATATTCCATCCGAGACTTCTCCGGCAACAAATTCAACTCTATATTTTTGCCACCTCCCTTATTTCTGGAGGTGTAAGTATACTTCCAGGTCGCTATCACTGTCCAGTGTCTATTATATAATAATTTGAATATACCGATATTTTTTCATGAATTGTCAAACTATAATTATCATGGACAACTGCGATTTCTATCAAATTTCATTTTAATTGAACACTACAGGAAAAATAAAGAGATTGTGGGAATTGTAATAATTTGCAATTACAATATCCTCCTATATCATTATGAACAATCGAAGAAAAAATTATATGTTCAACTCGGCAGCAAAGTAGATTGACTGCCTTAGCCTCGGCAGTCAATCTACTACTTTGCTGCCTAGTTAAACAAATAACTATTTTCAATCGAGCTTATTAATTTGGTTTCACAAAACTAGGCCACTCTCCAGAAAGTTTCCATTTTTAGATAAAAATCGATCCTTACAATGCAGAAGCCAACGACCTCATACAGAGGATAGAGCCGGCCAAAGAGCTCAAAAGAAACGCGGAATTCTATTACGGCCACAACGACTATCCCTCCGCCATTCGCTTCCTAACCGACGCCATAGAACTGAGCCCTTGGAACCACGATCTCTACGAATTCAGATCGGAACTGCACTCGCTCAAAGGTGACGAAATGTCGGCCATTTCCGACTTGAAAACCGCCACCAAACTGCAAAGCGACAACACCGCAGGCTACCTCAGATTATCCCAACTCCTGTATAAAGCCGGCCAGGCCACCGAAGCCCTAAAAGCTATTAGAGAATGTTTGAAGCTAGACCCCGAGCACAAGGATTGCTTCCCCTTTTACAAACGAGTGAAAAAAATCGAAAAGTTCATCGTAGACGCCGAGAATGCCATGGAAGAAAAGAGCTACGAGAATTGCATAGACTCCGGCAACAAAGTTTTAAAGAACGAAAAGGAAGTGCACAGTATCGTCTACGAAGCTAGGAGGATACTGTGCACTTGCTACACTAACCACGAGCAAACGGAAGAAGCCATCTCCGTATGCACGGAAGCCCTAAGTCACAACGAGGAGCCCAGCATTTTCTGCGATAGAGCAGAGGCTTATTTGCAATCGGAGCTGTACGATGACGCCATCAGGGACTACCGATCTGCCCTAGAGTTGGATCCGCACTACGAAAGAGCCAAGGAAGGGTTGAACAAGGCGGAGAATCGGCAGAAGCAGTCCGAGAAAAGGGACTATTACAAGATTTTGGACGTGAAGAGGACGGCGAGTAAGAAGGAGATCACTAAGGCTTACAGGAAGATGGCGCAAAAGTGGCATCCGGATAATTATCAGAACGACGAGAAGATGAAGAAGATTGCCGAGAAGAAGTTTATCGATATTGCTGCTGCGAAGGAGGTGAGTGATTGGTTTGGTAATGCCATATATCTACTATTTCTTTATATGGCGCATCGCCTATTCGCGAGATTCACGAAGGGGGCGACATCTAGGTTACATAATACGAACTTCAAACTGGGGGAAGGCAAACTGTTGTCTATGGATAAAGTGCATAGACTACCATTGCATTCAGCTTGCTGTAGCTGTAGTCAAAAGCGTCAATGACATAAAGTGTTGGCACTGTTGGTAGTGATGATGGTTGAGTTGGTTGAATTTTTTACATTATTACATTTTTATCAGTTCAGTGAACGGGTGAAGAATTGGAGATAGTTCAAACAATTCAAACTAATTATGACGAGCAAATTAATTGAGATTGTCCTGCTTTGCATGAACAAATACAAATCCATTGTTCTACAGGAGTTCCTGTGGACCCCATCAACTTCAATTTTACTTTATGTGGGGAAGATTTCATTGCCGAAGTTTGTAGACAAAGTGGAAAAAAGTTGCCTTTTGTTAAAGTCTTCTGCCTCACACAAAATTGCATGTCAAGCACGGAAAACTGTTTCTCCTTCCACTTCTGGTCGGCTTTTCCATCTAAATAGAGCATAATATCTGCCAAAAGAACATCTACAATAGGCGTTTTCGATCGAATATTGACAATTAATGTCAAGAAATGTAAAAAACTTATCACTCTTATCAGTACACAGTAAACAAGCTAATGGTACTAATTGGCTTGAGTAAGGATTGAGTTTGTTTTCCCCCAGTTTTGACGTGCCTTTGACATGGAACGATGAAAACCGAGCGCCACCTGGTAACATTGATTCCCGCGAATACGATATCTCAACAAAAATGGGACCAAAATGAGAGGTACTTTTTGAATCTATAAGGACGGGAAGTGAAGGATGGAAACAGCCATATTAGTTTGAGAAGTTTCGTATTATTTTTACCCTAGCATCAACGCTTATTGGTCGATTTCTTTACCTATAGAGACAGAAGTTGGTCCTGCTTTAAGGGCAGCCATGCTTCATATATGAGTAGTAGATATAAGGGTAAAACATTGAAACACAACCTCACTTTTCATTTTTGTTTACAAAGGATTGAAATAGTTTTTCACAATTATTTTGGTATAGGAATCGTGGTTTTCGGCTATTCTTCAATTCAAGCATGCCATCACTCACATTATGATTTAAAAGTGATCACCACAGTCACTCACATATTCTACCATTTTGGTAAAATTGCACATCATGAGATGGGGTTTTTTTTTGGATAATTTTTTTTTGTAAATACGTATTCTTGTGTGAAAACACAAATTTGATAATGAAAATATGATTTCTGACTATGACATTGACTTCACGTTTTGACTGAAATTGTTAACAAATAATGGAGTTCAACCATAGGGATCATACCTGTACTATTTATCACAAGTTTTGGTCAAACCTTTTTTTATTTTTTGAAAACCTAACGAGTCACATCTTTGAAAGCAAAACGATTCTTGAAAGATTGGAGTGTAGTTGCCACTAGGGTCCCTTGATGGAAATTGACGTTAAAGTCATCTTAACAGGGTACGGACAGATCATAGCTGCATTCTTTTTTAATGATTTAGAGACTCTAGTTTTGTCTACTGGCATCCCTGATATTGCTGTCACGTCACATCCATGGGCGCTACAGAAAATGATTCAAAATTGTAATAATAGGTATATGTACAGGGTATTTACTTGTTGAGGAAGATCATTATGGCGAACGAGTTTTGTAATGAAGATCCGATTCTACTCAAAATTGGTATCTGGGGGTTTCCGGGATAGGAGATAATGATTGTTTCGTGAAAATTGGAAAATTCAAGATGACGGATCCAATATGGCGAACGACATCAGTTTATATAATTATTACTCTACCACAAATATAAAATATGTAGGATGCAAGAGTGGCAATAACGTGCCTATCAGTTATACTGCGTATACCTACTTCTTTGTTACTTTCATCAATAAATTATTCGAGAATGACTTGTTATTCAAGGGAGGCATACACATTTCACGTATTACTTTTTATCAGCCTACTTTTCGTCCTAGGCGAAGTTTGATACATAGTGTGATATTAGAAACTCCATAAATTCTTGAGTTGGATTTCCGAAAATATATTTAGCACACATTTGACATGAGTAGTAGTTTAGATATCCACATCGAGGTTTCCATCATTTCTCAATCATCACGCTTTCAGTACAATTCATATGTTCCCTACCTCGCAAAGATTATGCTGGAGTAGTAAACTCTGAAACAAGAGAATTGTTCATCTATATCTTGGTATAAATGAATTAGGAACTCCATATGGAAATCACGTATGATACGCCAGTGACCTCAATATAACCTAAAAAACAACGAATGTCAAAAATCTAGTGTTTATCCCCAGAATTGAACAAGGATGGAACTATATAACTGTTTCACAAACACTTTAGAGTGAGAGGAAACAGGATGTGTCCGTACCCTGTTAAGATGACTTTAACGTCAATTTCCATCAAGGGACCCTAGTTGCCACTAATCCCACCTGTTTATCAGTACCTGCTCCAGTGACTTCCCCATCTCTTTTTATCAACCTTTTTCCCTTCTTGTGGGGTGGTTTTGATGTTTTTATATTTCTCCTGGCATGTGTTGCCAATATACAGGGTGTCTCTAAGAGGTCTTTACAGAAACTTACCACATATTTCTCAGACCAAAACAATTCCATACCTACAAGCAAATGTACCCAAGTAAAAAATTGCTTATTTTGGACCTAGACTGCTCTGAAGTTACAATTTTCAATTCGTTTTTGCTTCATAAACTTGAAACGGCTCATGAGATTTTACTCAAATTTGGTACGTTGGCATAGCCACATTTGACAATCATAATAATAAATATTATTCCATGGGCATAGAACTTGATTTTTTTAATGAATAAACATCTGGAATTTCTTTGGATTGCGCAACTTGTTAGATTACTCAATGGATGCAAGCAAATACTCATCAGTACATGATTGCCCAATCTGGGCACTAGACGGCTCTGGCTCACTCAGTTAAAAAAAACAAAGTTTCAGATTTTTATTTACTGAAAAAAAAAACGTGTTCTACGCCCATGGAATGATATTTATCAATACCATGTTATGTTTGATTGCCCTATATAAAATTGTAACTTCATTGTGCTTAAACTAAGTGATTTTATACTGAGGTAAGTTTGCTTGTATTGAATAAGTGGTGGGTTTTTGTAAAGACTTTTTAGGGACACCCTGTATAGTGAAAACGTTTTAACATTTAATTATTTGAGTTTAGAGATTTGAGGACAAGGACAACATGTAGAAATAGAGAAGAAAACTTTGGCATCTGACTGTACATACCTATTATGTTGCTTTCCCTACATTGTGGTTGCTATTATTATTGTTATTATTATTATTTTTTTTATTGGACAGAGGAAAATTTTATTTTTATTTTCTTGTAGGTTCTGACTAATGAAGAAAAACGGAAACAATTTGATAATGGCGAAGATCCTCTTGATCCAGAAGCAGGAAGAGGAGGGCAACCAAATTTCCATCACTTCCAGAGTTTCCATGGTAGTCCTTTCCAATTCAAATTCCATTTCAATTAGGCGCCTTCTTTATATACCTACGTATTGCAATACAGAGACATCTTTCTAAAAGTGGGCATTCTGAATGTTCATAATGGGATACGATTATTGTGATACATGAAAAAAATTTTTTTGAGTGAACAGTTTATATTTTTCATGTACACAGTTAACAGAGCGAATATCAGGAAGTTATTTCAGTTTTCAGGTTTATAGATGAAGTTGAAGTATCGATATTCAAAAAGCAGCATACTGATATTTATTTTTTCGAATGATTCAAGAAACGTTTTCTTCTTGGGTCTATTGGATACTTTCATCTCTAAACCTCTTCTCGTCATGTACCTGAAAAGATACACAAATACTGGTTTGTGTAAAGCACATTATGATGAAATGGACTGAATAATGAATCGTAACTTTTGTTCATACATTGTAAATATTTTTATTAATAAATATTTATATGCTATTAGTTTAAATTATTGTGAAGTGGAATATTCCTTCATACCGAGACCAATACTTTGGCTTTAGCTAGGGTCCCTGATGAAAATTGACGTTGAAGTCATCTTTTTAACGTCAATTTCCATCAAGGGACCCTAGCTTCAGCTGGTTATGATCTATAACTATGGCCGCTAGCAGCTTGGAGACAAAAATTAAAAGAAGTAGGTGGAATCTCGATTGGTACCACTGTACCCATTGCCCAAGATCCCCAGATAGATGTGCGCAAGTGTAACTTGTGCTAGTGTCCCAACAATCGTTACAAAAAAAGAAGAGGAGAATGGTCTGGCATCACTGTTAAACATAAACTGTCATTCTTTTTTCATTGATAACTCGTCAAAGGTGAGATTTTGTGATTTTATTTTTAAAAAATATCTCTTATTATTCGAAAATACTGCTGTTTTTGAATAAATCACATATCACCGAGTAATATCCCAGTGATTTGAGTTGATTTTCCTCAATCATAGAACTGATGTACTCGGATTCGTAACATATTCCCACCTAACCTCCATGTTGTGTTGATTTTTAGCGATGGCAGACGCAGTTGCAAAGAAACCGAGGGCCGAAAAGAAGGCTACCAAGGAAGCCCCAGCAGCCTCTGACAAACCCTCAGTCAAAAGGAGGCCTCTGAAAAGGCACGGCAGATTATATGCCAAAGCCATCTTCACTGGTTACAAAAGGGGGCTTCGTAACCAACACGAAAACACGGCACTTCTGAATGTGGAAGGTACCTCTGCCAAACAAGACAGTTGGTTCTATGTGGGAAAGAAGTGTGTGTATGTCTACAAAGCCAAGAACAAGACATGTGTCCCTGGAAGGCCCAAGTCTGTCAAATCTAAAGTGCGTGCTATTTGGGGCAAAGTGACTAGGCCACATGGTACTAGAGGTGCTGTCAGAGCTAAGTTTGATAGGAACTTACCTGCCAAAGCAATGGGGCACCGTATTAGAATTGTAAGTATGGTGATAATTCATAAAGTATGTTTTTTCTGAGTCATATTTTCCTCTCTGAATTCTTCTTTCTCAAAGACATTAGTTTTGTAGAGGCTGGTATTTTTGTACTTGTTATTCTGTAAAGTGTTGTTTTTTTCTCATTCATTTGAGATATTTTTTCAATGATGCTTTAGACATTTGAAACCTGACATTATGTGTTGAAAGTTTTGACTGAGAATTTTATTAAATAATTTCAATGAAAGGAATATTTTCAAGTTCATAATAATTTACTTTGATTTTTATTTTCAGATGCTGTACCCATCCAAAATATAGACCTTTTATAATAAATACTTAAAAAATAAATGACAGACTTGTTACATATTCTTTGTTCATTTTTTTTCCCTAAATAACATTCTGATTCTGAGGTAAAAATAAAAGTAGGAGCAAAAAGAAAGTTCATGGTTGATGTAAAAATGATGTTTGATGCAGTGCTCATGTTTTTGAAAATCAAAGAACACTTCTATAGATATCCACAGGACATTCCCCACAATTCTCTGCTATCAGCAAAGATTTGGAATTTAACATCTGCGCACGATTTTAATCGAATATTATAGGAATTTCCTTTCGTGCGCTCCAAGAGATTAAAAAAGAATGTAAAATTGGTATGAAAGAACAATACAAGAGTGAAAGATGTCTGTCTGTCTATGTCCTTAAAGGTAAAATGAGAGAAGAAGACTATTCTAACCTCAATACATAACTGCTGTCAAAGTCACGTGTATGTTTTGATTAGAGTAAAATTTCTAACAAATCTAGTAACCATAAAAACCATAATAGTATCCAACCAAAATAATGGAAAAACAAGACAACTTTGAAGAAAAACTAGATAGATTAGAAGATTATCGAGAAAATCCCGAAGAAAAGCTAGATACAATATGTGACATTCTCGATAAGCTCACCCTAGACACGCTGTTCCTGATGGAGAAAGAAATAGAAATGAAATTGAATGTTGAGAACTCCATGTGTCAAGGAGAATCCCACCTTGCCAAAGCGCGATACATAATGGGTCAAAACAATGTTTCTTCTATACAGCTACCCACCGAAAATACTCCAGAATTTTCAGCAGCACTGAAAGTTCATTCTGAGGAAAGTAGTCAAGTGTTGGGTGGCAAATCATATGATCTGGTTGCAATTAAAAAGACAGAGGACCAAAGTGTTGTTGATCCAATGAGATGGTTTGGATTGTTGGTTCCACTGAACCTGAGCCATGCACAAACTATGTTTAAACAAGCTCTGCAATGGACTGTGCAAGCAGCAAATGTGCAGTCCCAATTAACAGATATGATGAAAATACTTTGTGGACTGAAACAATTCAAGTCCCAATACAAGGATGAATTGGTAATGACTAAATAGCATCAATAGGTATATACAAATACCTATTAGATTATCTAAACCCTTGCTATGAAATTAGTTATCTATATTATTCAGATGAGCATCATCAATATAACCATTTCAATAGTTACCTATGTCATTGATTATCCCTATTCCTCAATGAAACTTTCAATCACTGTCCATTATAGAGGATTCTCTTGACCATTGTGGTGAACTTGTTGGATGTGTAATTATGTTCTAGTTGATTTAAATATTTCAACATAAAAAATAATTCACTGATATTTTATGGGCATAGGTACTATGTAAATTATTTCTAAGCTATCAGAAATTACATGTTTAGATTTAATGTCAATATATTTACATAAGGTGTATTAGCAACAAAGTATTACATTTACCAACCAGTGCTTCACTAAGTCAATGTCCATATCCTAGTTCATTAGTGTAGATCCAAACAAATTCAATGTTTCTTAATTACCCAAAAGTAACTTTTCTTGTCAACCAAACAATACTAAGAACTATACAATACTTTGGGATTGTGGAAATTCAATCCAGAAACTATTTATAATAATTATATCATATTGTGTGTCATACTCATTGAATAGTCATCAAGAAGGAATTCAATAAATTCATCCAATGTAGATTATATGTCTTCCCAATCATCCTGTACCTATAAGTAGGTATATTTAGCCCAAACCAAAATTCACCTAAATGATAAAATTCAACTAATGCATTAAGGTTTAGTTTTTTACAATGATTTGTTGACATAGGTATGACTTGATTATTATCCTATACTTGTGGTTTATTTTCCATAGCAAAGTAGTGAATGTTGAATATTTATATCAAAAATTAAAAATTATATTTTGGTCAGATATATGGTCATAAAATAAAAAATACAGACCTGGTGACATAGGTATGACTCAATTATTCGAGGGGTAAATCTCCTTGGAAGTCTGGTGTACACTCCGTTGGAAGTCTTTGGAGTTATTTGGATGTGTTTGTAAGTCTTTGTGAGTTTTTGGATGTCTTTGTAAGTCTTTGGTAGTCTTTGGATGTCTCTGAAAGTCTTTGGATGTCTTTGGAAGTTTTGGAAGTCTTTGGAAGTATTTGGAAATCTTTGGATGTCTTTGGAAGTCTTTGGAAATCTATGTTAATTGGAAGTCTGGTGTACACATTTTTCCTGGAGATTTACCCCTTGCAATTATTATTCCATACTTGTGGGTTATTTTCCATAGCAAAGTAGTGAATGTTGAATATTTATATCAAAAATTAAAAATTATATTGGTCTGATAAATGGTCATAAAATAAAAAATACATATGAAGTGGCCCTTAAACATCCTTTTTTACAATGACCTGGTGACATAGGTATGACTCAATTATTATTCCATACTTGTGGTTTATTTTCCATGGCAAAGTAGTGAATGTTGAATATTTATATCAAACATTAAAAATTATATTGGTCTGATAAATGGTCATAAAATAAAAAATACATATGAAGTACCCCTTTAACATATCCTTTTTTACAATGATCTGTTGACATAGGTATGACTCAATTATTATCCTATACTTGTGGTTTATTTTCCATGGCAAAGTGATCGAATGTTGAATATTTATATCAAAAATTATAGTATATTACATAACAAGAGTTGTAAAACGCATATTACGCACGAAGTGGAGAGAGTTACAAACGATGCCGCATAGCGGCGAGTGTGTAACTCCACAAGTGCGTAATTGCTTTACAACTCGAGAATTGTACTATACTTTTTCTACGACTACGACTATATTTTCTTCCGGATAGTGCAGATATTGTATTATGGCACAAATAACGAGTACCTATATATACATGTCTCCCGTCACTAAACCAGCTGCATGAAAAGTTACAAATCAAAAATTTTGTGTTGCATACCCAGACATTTTCCTCAATTCGAACTGAAATGGGGCCGTTTTTCATATCTGAACAACTTGGTTAAAAGCAGGAAACACATTATATAAAAATATGAAGAATGAGTGATTCTGTTATCGTTATCAAAAATAATTAACAAAAGTTCTCCAATTGCGCTCTGAACCGCCGACCTTTGGCTTGGGAGCAAGCGCTTCTAACAACTGAGCCATCACCATTAATTCGTAATTGCAGATATTTTATAAATACCACTTCGAAGATTGATCTTTCCTAATTATTCCTGTTATTTAAAGAAAAAGGAATTCATCAATTCAATGTTGAATATATGTATGTTATTTGAAAAATGACCTTCATGAATAAATATTCATCAACAGGAGCATTCTGCAGAAAATAATTGATTTGTTCAGCATTAAGTATTTTCGATTTTTTACTTCGGAATCCATCCGATTTCCTTTCGAGGAAATGGGATATGCTATATTAATATTGTGATTGATATTTGGTGTTGATCGTAACATGGAATATATCGACCAGATGATGATTTCATTAATTCGTTAATTCTTGAAAATATACTAAAAGGATATGTTCCGAAAACGACACGGTATTATTTCTAATTCTCCAATCCAGGAATTCTTGATGTGCTATTTCGTATCATTCACGAGACTTAGCGGGTAGCAACTAATTTTTAGCCATTCTAGCTTTTTCCAACATTTCTGGTGGTATGTAGAAATAATCTGCTCATCGTCATATAGCTACTGGCCGTCTACTGACATTAATGAAATATTTAATTGTTATTGACACATCGCCTAAGCAAAAAAACAAAGTCATCTATCAACATACCTATGAAAACCGCGCGATCGCTCTCTTTACGCACACGTGTGTAAGGAGATCGAAGCTTACTGCCATTGTTTTGTGTACAATATTCATCACTTACAGTAGTAGTTGTAGGAAAAAGGATTTTTTCTATGACTGTTGAAAACTAGACCCTTTTAATGTAACATTTTTGTTGGGTAACTGGATGCATTACACAAAACAAGCCACGCCCCGTGTGTAAGAGCCTTTACACAACAGGCTATGGCCAATCAGCAACAAAGCAGATTCATTACCTACAAAACAGTTGACACCAGTTGTATTGATAATATGGGGCATGCAGTGAAACGTTTGAATCAGACTCGTCATGAAATGTCATAATTTGACAATAGCTATCTGGCGTGATTTAGAACTGACTTTTTGTGCAAATATGGATTCAGAAAGCGAAAATGAATTCAACTGCTCTCCACCATCAGGAGTTTTGAAAGCTGCCAATTCAAGTACAATCAGCCTTTTGCCCGAGGAATCTAAAAAAAGGTATGAAGTGGTTTGGCGAAAAGCAAAACTTGCAAATTCGTTTTCGGATAATGTACTGCTAGCCTATTTTGGCGAATTAGCAGCTAAACACAAAGCATCCTCCTTGTGGTCACAGTATTCCATGCATATACTAAGAAGCACAATTTCAATAAAAAATTATGTGAATATTGACCAATATTTGAAATTACGAGCATTTCTGAAAAGGAAATCTGATGGATATTTGTCAAAGAAAGCGAAGATATTCACTGCTGATGAACTCAACCAGTTCATCACTCAGTCATAGAAAAAGTATAGTATTCTACTTGCGTGTAATGGCTATTACTCATTCGAATGATTACGACGTTCGCCTGCGGCTCACGTCGCAAACTTCATTCTCATGAGTAATGGCCATCATTACACGCTCGTCGAATAATATACTATTTCAAATCGGTCCAGTAGTTTCGGAGCCTATTCATTACAAACTGACAAACTTGATATAGGAAGTTGATGAGACTTCAAGGAAATATTCTGTAATTATTCAAGTAATAATTATTATTGCATAAATCATGACACATTTTAGTAGAGCTACTCATTGTGTCAAAAATCATTATTTTTTTAAATTTCAGGCTTTTTCCTAGTGAATGCTAGTAGAAGATTATATCTTGAGAATTTTCTCGCAAGTTGGTATAATGTTCTAAGAAAGGAAAACGTTGCTTCTGAACTTGATATCAGATCAGGTAAACAATTTTTTATTATTGGATGAAATTAGAATCATTCATTGTAGAACTTGTGCAAATTATAATGAGACTTCAAGAATCATGCATCATTAAAGATATTGAGATATACACGTAAAGTCGAAAAAAATGTCTGATTCTAGTTATTGTCAATTTGCATTTTGACCTCTCAGTTTATCAGTGAGTACGCAGCAGGTTGTATAATGGAATGATGGCTTACTTCCTTGAAGATTCCATTATGGCCCTTATAACCTTGCAATGCTAATAATATCGCTAATTTATTTGTTGTTTGGAAGATAACAAGAGATGCGACTATAAATAATTTTTAAATTAAAACTCCAAATGGATTCAATCAACCAACCAACCCAAATTACCTCTACGCGTTTGTATAACTTTGTTTTATCTCACTTTAGTATGGGTTGGTAGTTACAATTTCCCAAAATTGTCGCTCGGAGTAGGTCAAGACACTTTAACTTGAAAAAATTCCGGAATCTGATGATGCCTTCCATTTATTCCATGTTAGATCGTCCTGTACCTACTGAAACAAATAAGTAACTCTAAGCAAACAAAGGTGTCAGTTTACTTAACGATATTTTTCGAGTGCCACAGGGTACTGTGCTGGGGCCGATTAAGTCTGATAAAAAATTCAATATCTACCTCTTGCTATGGATACTCATTCATTATAGATTGGAACAGGTAACGTTCTCCCATTGCATGCCTTTTCAAGGCTTCATAATTAACCCCAAAAATATGAAAAATAGACCGGTTCCTGTCACAAGGAAAAGCGCTTTTCTTTTTGTGAAGAATTTTCGTGTTTTTCCGCCATATTATATTGTAAATATATACGGAAATTCAAACAAACTGGCATATATGCAATCCGCAGCGACCGAAAGGGCTCAAAGGGGTTACGAAAAACTGAAGAAAATTGAAGGGGACATGATTTCCGTGTTTTCAAATTACATGCCAATGTAAAGAATTGAAGTTTTGGTAACAAAAATACTCTGGAAAAATTTGCATGCGCCCCTCGTCTGACCAAAATCCTGGAGAGCAGCCAAATTATACCTACC